ACAGCCCAGCTGCCGAGGTTGCGTCTTGTCTGGTTCGCTTGTCACGGTGGCAAGCTCGCTGTGATGGTGACGGCAGACGCCCAGATGCCATCCACAGGGCGACTCTGCCAGGCCACTGGTGCCATCGCCCATCAGAACGCTACGTGCTGAGTCCAGAGGAACCCCCGCCCCGTGAATTACTCACACCAGCCACCTTATGATATGTGATTGCATTCCAGGCAGAACGTCAGCCAGGGAAGAATTTGTAAGCGTGATTTGCATTCTCAGTTTCTGTCATAGAGTTGGTCATTATCTTCCCTCTTAGCCCTCTGTGTCCCTCCTGCATTTCCCCTCCTCCAGTGTTCATCAGGAGCAGGGGCCAGAGTGAGTTTGAGAGTCGGCCTTCCTTCAGAACGTGGCCTGTCGTGGCAGAGCACAGCCTCAAATCTCTGGGTTTGTGACACGTATTTTTATTGCCTTTGAGTGAACGTGATTGCTATATAGTTATCTCTGTCAACCTTAAAAAACAAAAGAGCCAGCAGTTTTACCAGCAAAATGAGTTTTTGGGGGATAGCAGAGTGACTCCAGTCCAGGACCAGCAGACGATGGTGAACCGTAGGCAAGTCGGGAGAGCAGAGGAGAGGGGAGGCTTTTGCGGGGAAAAGGGGGAGTTGGGAGGGGCTGTTTCCAGAGTTCTCAGTGGCTGGGCTGTTGCCAGGCAAAGAGAAATTCTTCCTCCTGCCAGGCTACCAAAGTGGGCTTCTCCACAAGGGGCATTCAGGAGGGCATATTTCTAATGGGGGTGGCCACGTGTGAGAGTGCCCTCTCGGGGCAGAACTCCATTCCCGCTCTGTTTTTAATGAGGTTTCCTTTATTTATTTTCATGTCTTCTTCTTAAATATATCTTCCCCCTTCACTTATTTGGAGTATGGTTTGAATTTTGTGCATCTTTCGAGCTGTACTCCCAAAAGAGGTGCGGAGGGGAAGCTGCTTCTCACCATGCAGTGTCCCTGTCACTTTCACAGCATCCCCAAGGGGACAGTCTCCCTTCTCCGCTCCTATGGGGTAAGCAAGGGATCCTTCCCGACCCACCTCCAAGTAGGCCTTAGAACCAACCCCCAGCTATAATCAAGGCAGGGAGGTGGAAAGAATGAAATGGAATGGATAGAAAAAAGCCATGTAGCTGTCAAGCCGGTGTCCACTGAATTAAAGACCCTTATGAGGAGAGGTCCAGGGTGCTTAGGTAGGCCCAGAAACTCATTTCCAGAACCAGAGGTTGCATTACTGACCTAAAATCATTCAAGGCTGACAACATAATCAAGGTCAGGATCCCCCTATCTTGGGCCCAAGTCTGCCGCTCCACGGGCCTACCTGTCAGCCTTGCAACACAGACAGGACCACTGCACAACTCCACCCCAGCCCTGGGTTAGGTATCAAAGGTGATGAGGTCCAGTGAGAGGACTGGACGTCTCGTGAGCAGATCCACTTTCCAAAAAGACAGGTTGGACCTCGCAACCTCTCACTTTGATCCTGGCATCACCCAGTCCGCTAGCCTGAGGGACTGAGGGAGAGAGTGGCCAAGCCATTCACACCTTCGGTCACTCACACAGCCCCCTGACCGTGGGCTGCTGCAGTGGCTTTAGAATAAGACAGAGCCAGGTCCCAGCACAGCTCTAAACTCACAGACTCTGCACTCTCAGGCAAGTTTCTTAACCTCTCTGAACCCCAATTTTCTCTGCAGAATGGGGAAATGATGAGATTACCCAGGGCACCACGTCATGAGAGTGGAATCAGATAGGACTTAATAGGAACTTTGCAAAGTGACTCTTTTAAAGTTCAAATCAGCTTAGGGACCATCTAGGGCTCAAAAGCCTCCAACAGCCCCATCTCAGGATAAATTCGGAGTCCTTACCGTCACCCTGAAGCTTGGCAGGCTCTGCCCCCATTTCCCCTCTGATCCATGACGGTCTCCCGCAGAGCTGCACCCCAGTGGCCTCTGTGATCCTCCTGACACACCCCAAGCCAGACTCCTCCTCACCTTCAGGCCTGCACGTTCTGCCCCCTGCCTGGAACATGCTTCCCCAAACGCCCACGGGCTCCCCGCCCTCGCTTCCTCGGGGCCCCCACTGATGTCACAACCCAGAGAAGGCTTCCCTGACCATCATCCCCTCCATCCCTCGTCCCGCTTTCTCTCTCTCTCCTCAGCCCATCACCACCTGGCACGTCTCACATCTACGGTTTATTTACTTACCGCTTGCTGGCCCCTCAGGGAGGTGAGCCAGGTGAGGACAGGAGTTCGGGTCTGCCGTGGAGTCAGCACGAGGTACATACTTGCTGGATGAAGGACCCAAGGGAAGTCAAGCAGCTGCACCACTGAAAATGACCCCCATCAAATGGCGACAGTTCCAGTGGGGGAGAGAGGCTAACAGTACACATGGGCAGCACCATAGGTCATGGCTGGGGAGGCCCAGGAAAGGGCCCCTCACCAAACTGGGGACATCTGGAAGGCACCTGGAGGCAGGTAAGGCGCCGCTGGGGGGAGGGAGGGCCCAGACGCAGCTGGAGGGTGAGTGGGGCCTGAGCCGGTGGAGACAGCAGCCTGTCCGCGGGGGGCCAGGGGCCGAGGTGGAAGGACCCCACGTAGGATGCCCCAGGAAGCCGGCCAGTTTCCCAGAAGGCCACAGAAGGTGATTAAAGAGAGTGGCCCAGAGGCCGGGAGACCGCCAGGCTTGGCTCCTTACCAAGCAGAGGAGGTGGAATGCAGCCCCCCGCCAACTTTATTGCCCCCTCCCCAAATCTAAATATTCCTACTGTCCACGGTTCTGATCAACAGTTCAGGAGTCTTGAGTAAGGTACATAATCCTGGTGGAATATGAAGGGGGCCCAAACCTGGGCGTGAGGCAGGGTGGGGGACGGGGAGGGGTCTGGAGCTGTCTGGGAGGCGCAGCGGGCCCGGTGGTTGATTGGCTTGGGGCAGGGGACTCAGAGAGCACTCCCACCTTGTGGTTCAGGCAGTCTGAGCCTGGGGCATGTGGGCCAAGAGGCACCCTGGCTGCGAGAGATGCTGCCCACCCCTGGTTTCTGTGCTCCCCAGCCATGCTTGAAGCTGCCACTTGAAACTAAGGAAAGTGGGAACAGTTTGATTTGGGGATGTAGGGGCAGTAACGATGATGGAGGGCCGGCATATGCTCCGAGCTGTTTGGAGAGGAACTAAGCCCAAACAGTTGGATGGGGGCGGGTACCAGCTGGAGGAGCGGGGACTGAGGGACTTCTGGGATTCTGGGCGTAAGCAGAGGGCCGGGAGACAGAGTGTGGCATGGCGTTGAGGGACGGTTCGTGAAGAAGGCAGCTTGAGCGTGTCCAGGAAGCACACCGGCCCAGACACTGGCTCCCGCCTGAGGGTCCCTGACAGCAGAAGCTGTCCCTCTGCGGGCTTTGGAGACATCAAACCACAGGGGGACATCTGGGAGGAGCAGGGACTCTCCCAGGTGCCCACCTGGGCTGTGAGCTGGTGTGGGGTGCCCTGTGGGTACAGGCGGGCAGGAGGGGGCACTTGGGGCATCGTGACCTTTGGTGATACGCGTGGAGTGGCTGTCGCCCCAGCACAGCCATAGTAGTCACAGAGGCGGCACCACCTTGTCACACACAGCCACGCATACCAGGGTTTCTGAGCCTCAGCACTATTGACATTTTGGGCAAATTATTCTTTGTTTACATTTAGCATTTTTTTTAAGCACTGTGGTAAGTATACATACCAAAACACTATTTAGCCATTTTAAGCATGCAGTGCAGCAGCGCCAGGCCCACTGGCCTTGCTGCGCAGCCACCCCACCGTCAGTCTCCGGCCTCTTCATCTTCCCAAACTCTGTCCCTCTTAAAGTCACTCACTCCCCCTCCCCTGGCCCCGGGCAGGCGCCTGCCATCCTTTCTATCTCTATGAACTTGACTCCTCCAGGGACCCCACATAAGTGGAATCCAGTGCTATTTGTCCTTTCGTGACTGGCCCATCTCACTGAGCATCATGTCCTAAGGTTCCTCCACGTGGTAGCAGGTGTCAGGACTCCCTCCCCTTCCAAGGAGGAACAATATTCTGGGCACACGGTTCTCTGCTGGGGGGCCGTCCTGCACACCGTAGGGTGTCCGGCAGCATCGCTGGCCTCTGCCCGCTAGAAGCTAGAAGCACTTCCCTCCTCCCAGTGTGACAACCACAGATGGCTCAGACTTCACCACATGTCTCCAGGGAACAAAGCCTCCCCCGCTGAGAACCGCTGCTCTGTGCAAGCTCACCCCTGAAGAACTGAGTCTCCCCTCCATGTACCTGAGCTCCCCTCAGGGCAGCCGCACCTCGGCAGAGGGGCAGGGGCCCCTCGGGAATGCCTCTCCAGCACTGGCTGCAGCCCACTGCCCAAAGCCCATTGGCAAGGCACAGCCACACACACTTCACGTCAAAACCACTTAATAATGTCAGGGCAGATTCTCACAATAGCCATCTTTAATAAGCATTACAAAATAAAAACCTCTTTTCTTAAATCCACACCAAGCATATGGCAAGCCATGTGCTGGCTGCATCGCCTCCTGCAGACTGAATGCTGGCCCCTCCTTTCATTCCTTCCATCTGGGGAGACATAAATCCTCCTTAGCGCCAAACCTCAGGAGATACAAGAAGCATGTCAGAGTCAAAGGTAAACAGGCCTGCTTTGCCCTGGGACACGTAAGCTGGATTTTCTTCAGTAATCCAGTTCCTTCAGAGAAACAGCCGAGAGCAAGGAAACTTCACGGCAAAATCCATAACCACACACACACACACACCCCAAAAAGAGTGAGTCTGGCAGCCCAGGCAGCTGACAGCCACAACCTGGGCAGGAATTCAGCCCGCTCACCCCCTCCTCCCCGACGCAGCCAGCACAGTGGCATGTTGATCCACACAGATTTCGCGTTTCCACTCAAGCCCCATACAGCCCTGCTAATGCCCATCAGCCCTCAGATAAAATCTTTTATTTCCTATGAGCCTGAAATAAAAAAGATGATTTTGCAGGGGCTTTAGGAGTGAAGGAGAGACACCGGAGCCCCTCAGGATTATCTTGGCAGGGAATGAATTTCGTTTGCGTGGGTATGGTTCATCAGGCGTTGTTCAGGAATCATAGAAATTTGGAATTGGAATCGATAAGAGCACCTTAGAGCAGGAACAAATAAACCTCTCCTCCAGCGCCAGAATGGAACTGAGGGGCCGTGATCCCCCAGCTCTCGCAGAACATTCCAGAAAGGCATAGATTTGCCGCAGTCCTTCACCCTTTCCCGTGTCCCCGTCTGTCGCATGACTTGTAGCTCTTCCCACGGAGTCAGACCCTCCTTCCTGACCTTTACTTCAGACTTGGCCTTGAGCCTTGTTTTGGCCAGAGATCCTAGTGGAACAGCAAACACAGGGGCTGGAAAACATGCCTGGGTGGGGACTGCCCTTTGCGCACCTCTTTCTCCAGACGAGAAGCCGCCACCGCGACCCACTGGTCCAGGAGCATCGGGGCTGGTGAGTTAAATCGTGAGTTGGGGCCGGTTTGTTATACATCGTTATTGTGCCAGTAGCTGGCCAGCGTAGAAACTGGCTACATCATGCTTCCTGGGGCAGGGTGCTGAGCGCTTGGCACGGCTTTTGCATGGAACTAGCTGACTGGTGCAATGAGGAGAGCTCTGCTCACAAGGCAGATGTTGCCTTGCCCACATGCATTGCTGGACAGTGACTTTCCTGTTGCTCTGGCTTCGTCCCCACCAGGCCATGGGCGGGCCCGACCGCTGACACAGTCTAGAACAAGGGTAATCAGTTCTGGACTCGGTGGCCTATCAGCTACCTTGTGAGCTCTCGAGTCCGCCCTATAGCGCCCTATAGCTCCCTATATGCCTGGGAGACACCAGCTACGGAGGAGACTCGGTCATGGCATCAGGTGTGCATGTCAGCTGGGTGAGAGGTGGTCAAGCCAGAGGCCGGGCCCCTCGTGGAGAAAGCAGAGTCCCCAGAGCAGCCCGCCAGCTCTGATGACCCTTCCCTCCGCCCCTCTCCCCCTCCAGGCTCCCATCGCAAGTGACCTGAGCAGATGCCTGGACACCCAGGCTCAGAGCAGCATCACTCACAACTGCCAGAAGGCGGAAGCAGCCCAAGGGCCCATCGCCGGGTGGGTGGAGTGGGTAAACAAAGTGTGGCCCGCCCACGTGGTGGGATATCATTCGGCTGTGAAGATGACACGACATTCTGACACCTGCTACAACATGCATGGCCTTGAGGACATGATGCTCAGTGCAATCAGCCCGGCACAGAAGGACAAACACTACGTGACACCACACCTATATGGTACTTAGAGTGGTCAGACTCATAGAAACGGAAAGTAGATGGGGGCCCAGGGGCTGGGGGAGGGAAGGGAGGGGTCATTGTGTGATGGCCATTTGGGAAGATGACAGAGTTCCAGAGATGGATGGTGGGGGGCTGCCCAACAATGTGAATGGTAATGCCACTGAACTGTGCACTTAAAAATCGTTAAAAGGATCAATTTTATGTTATGTATATTTTACCACAAATTTTTAAAACATGGCCTGTCCTATGTCCCAGCTCCTGAGGCCCAGCTCCCACCTGGCTGTCAAACAGGGAAACCATTGATAAGTGGAAGCATAGGTAGCGTGGGCACGGCGAGGAGGCGTGGAGGCATGCCACCTGCTCCTGCCCTCCTCGGCTGCAGCGGAACCTCCGGCATCCTCCTTGCTTGAACTCAAATGAAGTGACTGCTAATGGAGATGACCTATGCATAGGGGCGGGCCAGTAGGGGGATCCTGGGGACAGAGAGGGAGCCCCCCGACGCCCCTCCCATCCCACACAGAGGCTGCCGGCCTCCTGCCCTGCGGTGCAAGTCTGTGCAGGGCATGCTTATCGCACTATCTCCGCGGAGGGAAGGGCTCTTTGTGGCTGGTGTCCAACTGGAAAGCTGCAGCTTGAGCAGGTGGAATTTGTGTAGATGGGGGAAGAGAAGGTGGGGACAACCGGGGCGAAACCGGAGGAGCGAGGACCATGGAGGAGGGCAGGGCAGGCTTTGGACCTGCAGACCCGGGCTCGTGTTCCAGCTCTGCCACGTGCTGGCTCTGTGAGCTTGAGCTTGAGCTTGAACTACCCACCTCCCCAAGCCCCATGTCCTTGTCTATACAGGGAGCGTAGTACCAGGACCTATGCCTGGCGGGGTTTCATGCGGGGTAAGAGAACATGGTGCCCAGGAAGGCTTGTCCAGCATGTGGCCCACAGTGAGCGCTCAGTTAATGCCAGTCAGCTGGTCGCAGCCCCTGTGGTCCGTCCCTGCCAGTGCCTCCGTGTGGCCCCCTCCCCTGCAGTGTGGACACCTAGGGACTTGCTTCTGACCACGACCAGCAGAGGTAACAGTGCGCCATGCTCCCGAGGACGCTACCAGTGGCTGCGACCTGACCTGCGTCCTGCCTGCCCTCCTCTGGCTCTCCGGGGAAGCGAGCTGTCATCTCGTCGTGATGGGGGTGTGAGGGGCCCACATGGCGAGGACCCGCCCCATCGGCAACCACCCAGCGAGCAAGGACGTGCATACTTCCCAGCCTCTCAGGGGCCCTGCCACGCCAGGTGACGGTCCCTCAGAGTCCGTGACAATAGCTGATGTTCTAAGCCGCTTCCCTCGGGGCTCATCTGGTTAATGATCTGCCAACAGCCACCTGCTGTTCCCAACCACAGCTAGACTCCAGTGCTCTCCCCTGTGACCCCACCGGCCAGGCATCCACCAACCCCCCAGGCTCTCCTACACTAGGCCCCCAACACCACACACACCCACACCACACCCACACCCACAACACACACACCCACAACACACCACACACTCACGACACACATGACACACAACACATGCACCACACACAACACACACACTCCACGTGCTTCATCTAACTCATGTTGCCAGAGACTGCATCTTCCAGGATGCAGCGTGGCCAGGCAGTGAGTGCGGGGATCTCTGCCCGGGGTCTAGGGACCGGGCTCCCAGGGGACAGGGGGCACATCGGTGCCTGCCCAGCACTGCCAGGAGAGGCCTGCAGGCAGAGCACCCCCAGGCTGTCCCCCTGGGCTCCCTGGCTGGCTGCAAACACCTACTGAGCTGCTCCAGCTGCCTGGTTCCCATTCTGTCTCCACCCCCAGAGCCAGAGCCCGGGGCGCCTGGCTGCGGATGCGCAGGGATACACCCACCTGCTCTGTCAGTTTTCTGGTGTGTCCCGGAAGCACATGTGTTTGCCACACACAGAGGATTTCAGTCCTGGCCAATAACTAAGTCAGCGAGGAGGAGATGCTGACATCTAAGTTCTTATGACACCTTGAGGGCCATTGAGCCTGTGGAGAAGGAAGGCCGAAGGAGCCCGGGGCTTGGGTTTGAGTCCACCTCTGCCCTGACAAGCTGGGCCACTTTGGAGGAGTTCCTGCCCGGCACTGAGCCTCGGTCATACCCGCCTCGGGGGTCTGCTTGTGTGAGGCCGAAATAAGGTAACGTGTGTGAAGGACCCTTGTTCTCTGGCCAGGCTTCAGGCAAGATGAGCTACTGCAGCCAGAGGCCGCAGTGTGGAGCTCTGAGCCCCCCTCCCACTGGGAGGCAGCCCACTGCCACGGGGTTCCCCCTTCCATCTCTCGTGAGGTGGGTTATCATGAGTCGATTCCCAAGAGCCGAGGCTCTAACGGGTTGAGCATCTGGACCCGGGAGGCGGAGTGCTATCATCCTGGGCTGAGCGTGTCCTTCATGACACCATTCTTGAATGATCACAATACCCTCTCACTTTAAAAGAACAACCTTCACTTGACCCGGCTGCCCAATAACTTTTCTCTAAGATTCTGCCAGGTTGTGGAGGGCAGACAAGAATGCAGGCTGTAAATCGGGAGCCCTCGTGACACTGAGATCCATTAATCCACCACAAGAAGATTCGCTACCTCTCAGTGTCCAGAGGGAGACCAGAAATCCTCTCACACGGCTGCCCAGAGGCTCCGGCACCACGGTCAGCACTCAGCACATTGTACTGCGACCTTTAGGAAGTTACAGGGCGTGAGCGCTGCTCCCTGAGGCCCACCGCCCGCCGCTGCCCGGACACCCAGACCCACCCGAAGGAGTCTGCTGCCAGGGGCCTGTGCCTGTCCCCGCACCGTGCGTGAGGGACGGAGCTAATCTCGAAATGTTGGGGAGAACCTAAGCCACCACTGAAACCTACAGGATCCAAACGACCACCCAGACTGGGAGCTCGTGAAAGCTGGACCCACCTTTGCCCTCCAGCTCTTAGTCCTGGGCCTGGCGATGGGTGAGCGTGTCCTTCATGACACCATTCTTGAATGATCACAATACCCTCTCACTTTAAAAGAACAACCTTCACTTGACCCGGCTGCCCAATAACTTTTCTCTAAGATTCTGCCAGGTTGTGGAGGGCAGACAAGAATGCAGGCTGTAAATCGGGAGCCCTCGTGACACTGACATCCATTAATCCACCACAAGAAGATTCGCTACCTCTCAGTGTCCAGAGGGAGACCAGAAATCCTCTCACACGGCTGCCCAGAGGCTCCGGCACCACGGTCAGCACTCAGCACATTGTACTGCGACCTTTAGGAAGTTACAGGGCGTGAGCGCTGCTCCCTGAGGCCCACCGCCCGCCGCTGCCCGGACACCCAGACCCACCCGAAGGAGTCTGCTGCCAGGGGCCTGTGCCTGTCCCCGCACCGTGCGTGAGGGACGGAGCTAATCTCGAAATGTTGGGGAGAACCTAAGCCACCACTGAAACCTACAGGATCCAAACGACCACCCAGACTGGGAGCTCGTGAAAGCTGGACCCACCTTTGCCCTCCAGCTCTTAGTCCTGGGCCTGGCGATGGGTGACGGGTGGGTGTATGGATGGGTGGTGGGTGGGTGTATGGATGGGTGGGTGGGTAAATAAATGCCTGGCCAAGAACAGAAGTTCTCCCCCAGAATCCACCACCCACCCTGGTAGCTTCTCCATTTATAAAATCAGGTGCGAGTAGTTCGTTTTCTACCCATCCCATAAAGTTGTTCTGAGAAAATTTGATGATATAAATACACTTCTTCGGCTACCTCTGTAGAATTATACCAATGAAAGGAAGCTTCAAAAGAAAATATTTTCTTCACCCTAATAGATGCTTTTAGAACCCATGGATTCAATCACCAACTTAACAAATCTCCTTGGGGGAACACCGCTTAGTGGGCTCTTTAGAGGCGGGGTTCCAGACAGAGAAAGCTTGGCCACCGAGCCGCCTCCCCCTAGGGCTACACATTGTTTCATTAGGCCTGTAGCTGTGCAGGACTGTGAGCTGGCAGAGGGCAGGTACTGAGTCTTAGGCCTATGACCCTCCTCATCAGCAAAAATTAGTAATTAATATCTATCCCAGTGATTTCAATAAAATAACAAAATCATAATGTCAAAGACACAACTTTACAGAAGACAACAACGTAGACATACTAGAGTGAAATTCCGTGTGTGACTTGTGTCCTCCTTGTCCAACTCTAAATTTAGAGATTGCCATTCGAAGTGGCTTTTTTACTCATATGAACCCTGTTTTAAAGATTGACGTAGGGCTTGCGTGATTGGGGATGGTGAACAGGGACAGGAAGGGGCGGGGCTTGGGCCAATCTGTGCAAACAGCCTGATGCAGCAGCTGACATATAAAAATGCCTGATCCACAGCAGCCTAGTATGGCCACAGTGATTCAGGGCCCAGGCCTGCCACTGTGTCACCATCCACTGTGGTCCTGGAACCTCTGTCCCACTGGCCTCCCCTCCTCTTTTGATGGGGCAGGAGGTGGCAAGGGCTGTAGTCCGGGTCAGAGGAGGGACGAGGGCATGGCAGCCCAACAGGAGGGGCTGAATCCCTGTGTGGACACCTGTCCACTTTCAGTCCCTGCTCCGGGCATGTCAGCCAGCCCCCAGCTGCCAGTGCTGGAGGGTCCAGCGTTTGCTTTCTTGGGTGGGCACCAGGGTGCAGAACCATCTCTGACTTGGCCTGGGGCTCCGGACCAGGCCGTCAGGCTGGGCTGGGAAGGAGCAAGCGTGCGAGCGGCTGTCACGGTGTGCTCAGGCTCGTCCTCAGAGCACCCCAACATGCGGCAGGCTGCCTGCAGCAGGGCTCAGGGCTCGCTGGGGCCGGGCGCAAGGGAGCGCAGCGGCAGATTCTATGCATGACAGCTCCGTGAAAAGGGCACCGCATTTACTTTAGCAAATTTGGGACCGGAGATTGGTGAACTGACCAAAGTTGGTAAATATCAAGGGTTAAACAGCAGGCCCCCCATTATCAACCCTGGCATGGAGTTGCAGACGTCATGCTTTCTAAAGGACAGGAGCTGGGGTTAGGGGGCACTCACAGCATTCCTAATATCACAGTTTCACACTTGGGGACAAAATGAAACAGCTCTATTTTAACTACAAAATGTCCCCAGGAGCTGAACCCTAAATGATCTCTAATTATTACAGGAATCTCCAATTTCTGGGCCGGCTTCCAAGGCCGCTATTGTGGCCGTTCATCAGCGGCAGTCCCAGCGTGGGGGCCCTGGAATGGTCGTCGAGAAGGCAGACACAGGGGAGCCGGAAGTCACGTGAGACTGACTGTGGGTTCAGGACCCAGCCCATGCTCCGGGTGCCACAGACAAGGAAGCATTCCTTTAGCTTCAAGATGTCCAATCCCCAGCTGAACAGACAAGCTGGCTGGGCATGGAGCCTGGTGCCCAGACCACTGGCCTGAGGGTGCCAGGCAGCTTCCACCTCTCTGACTACTCCACCTGAGAGGTTTTCACTCCGGACCATGCCCCCTTCCCAGGCTCTTTCAGAAGTGAGGAGGGGACTTATCTCTGGTTGTCACATTTCTGGGGACCCTGCAGCGCTGAGTGGGCAGGTGCCAGGGATACCAAATGCCCCACACCGTGCACTCAGCTCCACTGTGATGGTCAATTTTCTGTCACCTTGGCTGCACCACAGGGCCCAGTTTGCTCCAACACCAGTCTAGACGTTGCTGTGAGGGTGCATTTTAGACAGACGAGCGTTGTACTCAGTAGACTTTAAGTAAAGTAGATGCCCCCGCTAGCGTGTGGGACCAGCCAAGGGCCTTAGGAGGAAAGACTGGTTCCCAGAAGAGAAAGGAATTCTGCCTCCAGACGGCCTTGGGCTCAAATGCAACATCACTCCTGCAAAATTTCCAGCCTGCCGCCTGCCTGCAGATCTCAGGTGTGCCAGCCCCCAGTCTCATAAGCCAAGTCCTTAAAGTCCATGTCTTTCTATATATACACACACATATCATAGGATATATATATATATATATATATATATAGCTCCTAATGGTTCTGTTTCTCTGAAGAACCTTGACTAATACAATCACCCTGCCCCAAACACTACTGGGGCCCCCCAGAGAGCCACCGAGTGGCCTGGACCAGTCCCACAGGCCTCTAAAATAAGGGGATGGGCCGGGAGGCCACTACACACTAAAATTTCTGAGGTTCTACATTAAAAGTGGACCCTGTGAGGCAGCCCGTGGGCAGGCCCCTGGTGCCTAGAAGAGATGAGCTTCCCGTGGTGGAATGAGCCCGAGTCATCCGCAGCCCCTCCCCGTGAGGCTGCCTGGGCACCCGCCCACCTCCTCAACGCCTGCAGCCCCTCTGCGAATGGATCCAGCCTGGGGCCCTTCTCGGATCTGAGCGGGAGGCTCGGATCTTCAGTTAATTGGCAAAACAGGGCTGTGCGAGGCCATGACAGCAGCCAAGTCTGTCCAGTGGGGGGCCCCAGGGAGGGTCTCTGGCCTGTGTTTTTCTTGCCAGGTTCTTCTGGAGGCCGTGTTGGCTCTGAAACCTCAGGGCACGACCTTGCTCAGAAGCGCAGCTGCGGACAAGCAGGGCCGGGGAGGAGGGCTGGGCTGCCCCAAGCCACCCAGCCGTGTCAGGCCCCAAGCCGCCCGGACAGCTGGGTCACGAGCCCTCGTGGGGCAGCCTCACCGTCTGGCCTGAGTGTTCAGAAAGTCTGCGTCTCCTGGGGGCCTCCAACCTTGACTGCCAGAGAAAGTTAGTATTTTTAATTAAATAAAGGGTTTTTCCATTGTAAGTACCATACTCACTATTTACCTGACAGAAATGGACCCAGCACTGTGCTTAGGTGTCAGGAACACAGTTCCTGACCTCCAGGAATTGACAATCAAGCTGCTACTCGTTATAGAATATTTGGGATTTTTATTTTAAGTAGAAGGGGAAAAAAAGATCACCCATTGTTTTCCACACATGAATAACCACTGCACACATTTTGGTGAACTTATTTCTCATCCCGCTACGCATCAAGGGCTATTTCCATCATGGCCTGAGGTCTGATGTCAGGTGATGCTCATACGATGTTTGTTTGCAACTTGGTCCTTTTTGTTTAACACAGTGTTTTCATATTGTTTAAACTTTTCATAAAGAATCTGTGTTTGGTAAGGCAGAGTGTTCCACTCTAACTTTCTTGCCACTTAGTCATTCCCTTATCATTGGGTATTTCAGATTGTTTTTGCTTGTTTGTGGCTTTTATAAATGAGAGCATTATGAACATCTTGATTTTGAAGGCTTTTCTAATATACCTGTTTCTTCGGGACACATTTCTGGAAATGGAATTACAAAAGATCTTTTTTCTTTTTTCATTTTTAAGTGGCTTAAAACAACAGACACTCATGATCTCCCATTATTCCTGTTGGGAAGGAGTCCGGGCACAGCTTAGCTGGGTCCTCTGGCCCGGGGTCTCTCTGCAGGCTTCAGTCAAGCTGTCGGCCAGCCGTGTTCTCATCTGCAGACTCGACTGGGTGGGGAACCTGCTTCTAAGCTCACTCCTGCGGCTGTGGTTGGGCGGCGAACATGCTGTGAGCTGTGGGCTGTGAGCCTCACTTCTTGACTCTTTGCTGTTGGCTGAAGGTTCTTTGCTGTGTGGACGGCTCCACCAGGCAGCTCACAGCACAGCAGCTGGTTTCCCTTGGAACAAGTGAGAAGCCACAGGGACACAGGATTTTGAAGAAATGCCAGTCCCTCTCCACCCGCTCTCAGCATGAGGATGTCACAGGGCCACACTCACTGCCTGGGCAGGCAGCCACCTGACCAAGGAGCAGGCTCATCGCAACGTTCCCGAGGTTCAGACCCTCTAAAATCCAGAAAAGGGCTTTGGGTGGTCGGTTGTCTGGCCCAGCTCAAGGGACAGAGCCCCAGAGGTGCCAACAGCTTAGCCTGTATCGCAGATTTGCTCCTCTGCTCCTCTCTCTGTGGGGTGCACAGGATGGCCACACCCTGCCTGTCCCACAGTGAAAAAGCTGAACCAAAGAAGTCGCCTGAATTTCTGTCCCCTCGTGTCCACTAAATGGTTCGCCACGGGCCTGACAGAGCTCAGTTCTATGTCTAAGAGTGGCCAAAGGATACCCCGAGGAGCGGCGAGTGGAAGGCCGTGGCTGTTCACTGCGGGCTGCCCAGGTTCTGGGCCAATGGCCTGGCACCACCGTGTAGGTGGCCCCCTAGCTGCCCCCATTGCTCCCCAGGCCCAGTCTCCATCCTGAGCCAGAACAATCTCTTAGAAAACTCAGGTCTGGTCTTGTCCCTCTGCTGCTCAGAACCCGGAGACTCCCTGGAGCTCTTGGGATGAAGCTCAGGAGACTCGGCCTGAATCACTAGGCCTCCTGGGACTGGTTCCTGCCTCCTAGCTCCTCCCAGGCCCCCCTTCCCACCCTCCTTCACCCCAACTCCACACTGAGCTCTAAAGGTGCCCGGTGGGCGCTCCTCCGGCCTCTGCACGCACAGTGGAAGTCCCGCACTCCACGCCCCCCGCTAGCTCCTGCCTCCAGCCCAGCTGTCCCTCGGCACATCCCCAACCCCAAGCCTGGCCTGGGTGCCTCACGTCCTCCTGCTGGGGGAGGAGGCAGAGCCAAGGGGCTCCAGGGAAGCTTTTCTTCCTGCAGGATGACCCTGATTGAAGAACGAGATCTGCACTGGATTTCTGGCTCCTGGGGTTTTACCATGTGCCTCCAGGTGGCTCAGTTAACCTTTTGTGCCCTGGCTTGCAAAGGAGAGAAGATACCTGCCCTGCCCGCCTGGAGGGTCCACTGTGGCTGTGTGCGTGCACGTGCGTGTCCAGGCGTGTGTGTGGAAGTGCTTTCAGACTGCAGAGATGCAAGTGCAGACAGGATCCCGGACAAGGGCGGGCTGCACAGATCTCGGCCTGCAGCTCAGAGGAAGGAAGGTGTGCTGGGGCATAGGGCGCCGAGCACGAGGGGAGGGCCTGGGTTCTCGACACAGAGGATCTGCGTTTCAGCCACGCATCTGCTGTGTGACCTTGGACGAGCCACTTGTTCCTGGGTGTCAGCTTCCCCACCTGTAAGTGAAGGCACCCAGGCTTTGGGTGCTGGTGGCTCCAGTGAGCCGCCACGACCCTGGTATCCTGGGCCTCTCAGCAGCTGCCTTGAAGCACAGCCTGCCAGTTCTCCATCCCACCTGCACCACGCCCACCAGCCTTGCCAGGCTCAGGCAAACAGATAGCAGGCCTCCCCGAGGCTGGAAAAAAGCCTCTGTGTGAACGAGAAAGCCCGAGGCCCCACAGTGACACGGTGTCTCCACGGCAAAGACCAGGATGTCACAGCCAGGAAAGGCAACGAGAGCTCCAGGAATCACAGATGTCTGCGCCACGAGTAGAGGGCGACGGGGGAGACAGGGGCCAGGGCAGCAGCTTCTCCCCAAAAGGGGAAGGGACAGGAATCGAGATGCAGGAGGAAGAGGGGGGCCCGGAAGAAGGCCGGGTCCAGTACACACCAGCTGGAGTGCAAGAGCCCAGGGGAGCCCAGGCCTCAGACCTCAAGGGGGCGCTCGCTTTAGGGAGGAGAGCGAGGCTGTGGCCAAGGGGGGCTGGACGGCTAGGGCGAGGCCAGTGTCCACTCTCCCTCCTCCAGGGACAGAAGCTGCTGGCAGTTCCCACCCGGGACAGGTTCAAAAGTGAGAAGGTGTGAATGGGGGACTACAGGTCGACGGCCCTGGTGCCCACAAGCCCAAGCCTCCCCTGAGACGAGGGGGGTCAGAGAGCATCTCCAAAGCAAAACAGCCAAGAAACAGCACTGGAAGCAACTATTCAGACTCAAGGAGGCGCCCATCACCACCACGGAACATGGAAACAGGAGCGGTCACCTCAGGGTGCGAGAAGGGAGGGGCAGGGCCCAGCTGGCACCGCCTGTGCTACTTTCTTATGTATGAATTTGACTCCTTTAGGGGTCTTATGTGAGTGGGATCATAAAGAATTTGTCTTTTTCTGACTGCCTTATTTCATTTATTTTCAAGATTTATCTACAGTGTAGCAGGGGTCAGAATTCCGGTGGTTTTCCGGCTGAATGCTATCCCGTCATGTGGACGGACCACACGTGTTCATCCGTTCATCCGTTGATGGGCACTTGGGCTGCGTCCACCTTTCGGCTGTTG